CAACTACCGAAACCTAAGAAAATCAAAATAAAATAAAATAAAATAAATTCTTGTGTGCAGAATTTTCGTGAGTGCATCACATATTAATTATTTAATTTTGGGTTAATCAAATAAAGAACTTTGATCCCAATAAAGTGCTAATTTCGTGTATTTGTGTTTGTTACATGGAATATTTAATTGCATAAATGAATTTACAATTTATATGATAAATTCATGTGATACATAGTATGACAATAGTGATATAGTTATGAATTTATATAATATGTGTTAATATATGATTTGAAATTCATGTCTTACTATATGTTTGAGTTGTTTATGTCAATACTTTAAAGTTTCCATGAGATCTCAAAGAAAAAAGGAGATATATATGTTTGAAAACTTGGAACTCTTTATATATAATAAAAGAGTTTGAAGAGAATGAAAAATTCTCTATTAAAGTTAAAAAGGAGAATGATCCTTGACCTAAGTCCACATTGTGGAAAATGAACAAAGCATCAAGTCCATGCTCGAAATCATATTAACTAAAATAACAATGAATCAGGTCTTAGGAAAGCTATCATATTGTAACAAAGAATGACACTAAGAGCTCAAGTGTAAAATGCTTGTAACAAGAGAAATGGAGCTAATTTTTTCAGGAATATGAAGAAAGAAATCGTGACATGGTGATTTCAAAACTTCATATTAGGGAAGATGATTTCATTGTTGGGTTGATTACGAAGTTTGAAAGAACAGACTGGTTCTTCAATTTCCTAAATCTGATCATATTAATTAACAGTTTTGATGCATTATTATTTAAATTGTGATCACAAGATGAGTTAATGAACTCACGTTAAGAATTAAAATTCTTAACAAGATTTGAGTCAATAGACTCGTGTGAAGAGATGATCCTTAAAATTTGAGTTAACAAACTCATAAGTAAGGGCTAAATATTGAAAAACATTTGGTCTAAAGACTGAATGACTTAAAGGGATATGTGTAAAGTCCAGAAATGATTACTTGCATTGGAATCTCAATTCAACGCTAGTAAATACTCTAGTCTTGAATTCAATGAGCGATAGTACAATGTACAAGTAATTGAGCATTACAATATTTATCCCAAAGTAGTTAGTGTTGTATATTTCCCGTTGGGTATCAGGTTGAGAATTGACTCTTAACAAACTCTTGTAAATGCTAAAATGGCGGGAGCATTAAGAAGTTTGCCTATATGAATGTCGGACCAGGCATCCACAAAGTTTGGAACTTGGCTTTGTTAACATTCGTGAAGAGATATGGGTACAAGACCTTACGTACCATACGCACTGGTAAGGTGCAGGCAAGTTGAGGAGAAAGAAACCTATGTGTGTTGACAATAGTGGCTTGTAACATGTACGCACGGTTCAAAGTTGGTCTACCGAGTTGTACTACAAGTTATGAAATCGACACTAACGTAGTGGTTCAAGTCTAACAACACCATTATTTTATGCATGGGTTTTGCTGGAATTATTCTGGATCCATTTAAAAATCATTTTCAATATATTGAAAATGGCGGGAGATTGTTGGAGTTATTTTCAATATATTGTAAGGACACAATTAATAAAATTGTGCCTATTGGATGTTTTCAATATATTGTAAAGACACAACTAATAGGTTGTGCCTATGGACTCCATATAAAAAGACATTAACTAAAAGTTATGTCTAGGACCATAACCAAGGGTTACGTCTAATCCTCAAGAGTTTCTTCTAACTTTATAAATATGGATCATTTCGATGCTTTTAGTGTACAATGAAATCACCAAATACTTGGAATATTTTCAATGACATTTCTTATCCTTGTATCAGGTTGTTGGTTCACTTAAGTGCATAGTGAAACAACATGATCTCCATTTTATCTCATAGGGAATTCACCTAGACAATTGCACTATATAGTGGGCGAATTTAGCCTAAAGGAAAACAAGTTTACTTGTGACTTGGAGACAAAACTTTTTTTTGTCCTAACCATAAATTCTTCCTCTTGTTCTTTGATCTAGTACAACCATTGTTGTTCACTATTCTTGAAGTAACAAAAACTCCAATAGACAGCATCAATAGCTGTTCTCCAATAAACGGAACAATGTGGACTGGGATAGAAGCCATAGTTACCTGACGTCTAGTCTGCGGAAAATCAAAATCCTAATGCATGTTAGGGGGACATTAAAAAGGAAGCTTCATAGCTTGAAACCCATGCTTAAAATCCAGATAATATCAATGTAATTGAACAGAATTCGTTCTTTTTTCTTTTCTTTTTTTTTTCTTTTGAAAGAAGAACAACATTCATTCTAATTTCAGTTCACATCAGGTTGGACATGAACAATAAACCATCACGATAGAAATGCCTAAAATTCAAAACCCATACAAGTATTTGGGTAATTACACAAAACCCAACCCAAATTTATATCAATATCTGAAGCAGCACAGCTAAACAACTCACAGTCACGAATAAATTTACTAATTCAACCGGATTCTAAATACTTCATGCTATAGAAATTTTCAAAATATGTACACAAAGAACGAAAAAGATAACAACAGGCTTGAAGTTTTCTTCCTCAGTGATTAAAGAAAAATAAATCGATACAAATAACCACAAAACATGAAGAAATTATAATGATTGGACACAAGAACAAACGGACAACAACAAACATGTATTTTGTTTGGGCAAAATTCCAATTGAAAAAATTACAACCTTCAATTGATTGAAAAAAGCCCATATCAATGAGCAAAAAGAAAGAAGTTTGAACCTCTCTCCTAGATATCGGATGGAGAAAGCTCACCTATATCCGGTTTCCGGCAGATTCTTTCCCGTAAACGCCGATGTTGCATGTAAATGTGTGCTTTCCCAGTGTATATATAGTTTCCTTATGGAAGAAAATAATGATTTGGTCCCTCTTAGTTTCTTCACTTTACAATTAGCCCCTCTATTTTAACAATAATGTGAAGAAAGCATTAAACAAATAGTAAATATTGCGGATAAAATGTAAATGTTTGCTTTCTCAGTTAATGGATTCCTTATGGGAGAAAATAAGGAATTGGTGCCTTTAATTATCCAACTATTTTAATAATCATAACTATTTTTAGTGCAAGCTAGTATTTGTTCCGTACTTTACACGAGTAAAATGGTATATATAGCGCGTTTTTTTAGGACCAGATTCGATGTAGACACCACATACTGATGGGATATATTCAAACTCTATTAGGAACAAGAAACTGGATTTGTTGGAGAGAAGCTTAAAAATTGAAACTAACTTTTCAAATCGAGTTGGGTAGCTTCCACGAACTCCATAGAATGATGTATTCCTTATGGGAGAAAATAAGGAATTGGAGCCTTTAATTATCCACCTATTTTAATATTCATAACTATTTTTAGTGCAAGCTAGTATTTGTTCCGTACTTTACACGAGTAAAATAGTATATATAGCGCGTTTTTTTAGGACCAGATTTGATGTAGATACCACATACTGATGGGATATATTCACACTCTATTAGGAAAAAGATACTAGATTTGTTGGAGAGAAGCTTAAAAATTGAAACTAACTTTTGAAATCAAGTTGGACAGCTTCCACGAACTCCATAGAATGATGTATTTTGTAGTATATTTAAGAAAATAACTTATGTAATCTAAGGTTAGTAAGGGAGGTAGACTAGATACTAAGGGTATGTTTGTTTCGTTTTTTTAGTGTGTGTTTTTAGGTGTTTTTTGTATTAGAAATATAAAAAAGTGTATTGAAAATGTAAAAAGGTATGTTGGGATTGGACAGTTAATAATATAATAATTTAAAAAAAACCATCTAAAAATTGAAACAAACAAAGCCTAAATTTTCCTCTTAGATTTTATGAAACACGATATTGTGAATGTGATTCTATATTTTGTAACTCATCTTTAAGATGTCTCGCGTTCGAAATTTATCATAGCAGCGAGAGTGTTAAAAAATTGTTATCATTATTATTATTATTATTATTTCAAAAAAAAAAAAAGAAAGAAAGAAAAGCTCTTTATGTGGACACATATTGAAAGATTTTTATCTTTTAAGAAAACATATGAGATAATCTTCTAAGTTTAAGGGCTTGAATGCAATAATACTTCATTTTAAGGTCCATTGGGAATTTAACAGAAAATGAAACTACAAACTATCCTGTGAGCAGTGTAATAAGTACAAAGGGAATAATAGTGTATACATCCCAACGTTTATACCCTGCTAGCGAATTCATCCAAAAGTTTTAGAATTGGTTAATTACGTCCCAAGATTATCAAAATTGAGTAGATCCATCCCATGACCTGCAAACTAACAAAAGTGACCTGGTATAATAGGCAGATTCATTTGGATTCCATATTTAACATTTTTACTTCTGTTTTTTTTTTTTGAAATTTTTAATTTTTTTTAGTTTATTGAAACAAAAACAAATTTTATAAATAGAGAAACTAAAAACTTTAATTTATTTGTACTGAATCTAATTTATTTTATAATATTCATCTTAATTTTTCGATAAAACTTAAAGAAACTTTCCAAAAAAAATTCTTTATTTTGAGCGAAAAATAGAATGATTATGCATTTACACACACACACATATATACATTTATATATATCTTGTATTCAAAAATTAATTAATTTTGAGTTTATCCAAAATTTTAAATTATTTCATTTGTGATGCATAAATTATTTTGATTAATTAAGTTTTTTCGAGTTTTTTAATCTAAAAAATTTTGTTTGTTTTATGAACTAAAAAATGACCAAAAAAAAGAGAAAAAAAAAATAAATATGAGACCAATAGATTTTTACGTTATATCAGGTCATTTTTTGTTGTTTTGTAGGTTATAGGATGGATCTGCTCAATTTTGATAATCTTATGACGTAATTAACCAATTCTAAAACTTTGGGATGAATTAGCATACTATGTAAACGTTGTGATGTATTCACTCATTCATTCGATTTTCTCAAGTATAACCGCAATAAAAGAAAAGAAAAGAAAGAGAGAAAAAAAAAAAAACTATGAAGAAAGGGAGCGGAGGCGGAGGCGGAGGTGGAGGAGCAGCGGCGGAGAAGAAGAAAGCACGTCATTCTTCAAACACCGACACCCCTCCCAGGGTTAGTTTTGCTCTTTCCCTATCGGTCTTTCTTTTTCTTCTTCTTCAATTGAATTACTGATTGTCTGCGCTGGAATTTTATTTCATTCTTATTCCGATTTGGGTTTTGGCCTTGTTTTATTCTTCTGTTGTTTGAATTGGGTTTTGTCAGGAAGATCTGAAATCGGTGAACTGCTTACTTACATTTGTACCCCCAGAATTCTGCACAAACTCGAAAGCACAAATGTGAAATGCCTTTGCCAGTTTGTTTTTATAGTTATTATTGGATTTTTTAATTAATTTTCGTCTTTGTATTCCGTTCTTTCATCTTGTGTTTGAGCTTCAGTCCTAATAGATTTTGATTTAGAAGAATCTCGAATTGGTGTATGGTTCGCGATATTGAGTTCCATGCTAACTCTGAACGGTTATGATCGTTATTTGTGGTTTCTGTTGATTACTTTTTGTGTTGACTTATAGGAATAAACTTAGCATTTGAGAGCATTTGTGTCCTAATGGAATCGTAGGGTTCATTTGGGATACTGAAGGTCTTACCTCTCTTGTTCGTAAATTGTTTTAATAATCTCTGATACATGTGTATCTCCATCAGAAGGTGCCTTATGAATTTTATCATATCAGTCGACTCAGTTCTTCTTGATCTCATTATTGTTTTTTACAAGTGTTATTATTAAGGCCAAAGGGAGGCCTAATTTTAAAACAGCAGTAGGATCTGTTAGTTTTCTCTTGCCTTTTCTTTTTCTTATTAGGTTTTGTAATTTATTAGTTTAGGCTGTGTTATCTTTTTTGTCTTCATTAGTTTTGTTAGTCGGTATGGAATGCCCATTTTTTCGTTTTCCAATTTGAGAAAAAGTTTGGTTCGATTCAGCAAAGTTATTTCTGAGGGATATGCCTCCTCAATGTTGCAACTGCATATCTCTCTCTGTTGAGGCAATTCAAGATTGAAGTTTTCTGGGGCTTATAGTTATGAAGTGGTCAAGCAACAACTAGCAGTTAATTGTATGTAGAAACAGAACATTTCTCTCTAAACATGAGTTTCTGGTTGTGTGTTGGAAGAGAAAGATGGAGAAAGGCACAGAGATGTGGATCTTTGTCTTTTTGAGTTTTTCTATGAAATTCTGTTATGCAAATACGCTTTTATTGGTCACTGTTATATTCTTCCATTCCCAGACCCTGGTGATTTACTTTTGACTATTTTTTTTCCCTCTTGCAGAAACAAGCTGCAAAGAGGGACTTATTTCAGTTATTTGCTGAAAAAGTTAGAGACCACAAGGATTTAGAATCAAGGTGGGCTGTCTTGCATGAAACACGTGTTGAATATTTTAGAGGAAAAGATTTTGTTAGCTTCTTGCGGAATCATGTGGAGCTCAAGAACATATTGGAGTTTGATAGTAATTTGGAAGCAGAAGATATTGCCAATGTATTGTTGAAAAAGAATCTTCTAGTGCGCTGTGATCGGGTGGTCAAAACTGTTAGGCCCGGTAAGAGGAAATTGTCTACTTGGCCAGCTCACTTGGAGATCTTTCCCGTAAGTGATTTTCTATTCTCCATATATTATGGAGAGAATCTTAGCTGAATAAGCTTTTCTTCTTTACACATGATCTGTTGTTTGTTCTTAACGCTGATGATAAAAAAACGAAATGTGTGTTAGTATCTCGTCGAAGAATATTTGTATTGTCTAAACATGCTTATCCCTGCTTTTTATCAGGATTGCCTCTGTGGTAATTCAACACTTTAAGGTTTGGGCCACCTTCTTTTCTGGCCAGCGAAAATGGCAATGAAATATTAAAGATTCAGCTCAGTATTTGGCATCACTTTATGCCTTTTATTTAGCTTCAGCACATCATATGAGCGTTTGTCATTTTCTAAATTCAACTTCTGAGAAATTTAACAAATTTTCTTTCTCATGGTTTCTGTTAAAGATTCTTTATTAATCTTAAAATCTCAGCACGTTTACATGTGGTTGTTTACCCTGTATTGTCTGATATGTTGATCCGAGCTTTTCATAAGGGATATTTTTTCCTGTCCAATTCTTCTAGAATGGCGTCTGTGTTGTTTTCATAAGATTTTCTTTCAGACCCTGCTTTTCTAAAACAGATTTTCATTTTGGACCTGCTTTTCTGGCCTGATAAACTTGAAAAAAAGAGAGTAAAGATTGAGCTCTTTATTTGGCATTCTATTATCTTACTTTGCTTTTGGAACATGATATTGGCATTTGTCAATTTCCATCTTTAACTTCGGAGTCATTAAACAAATTTTTTCGCTTTCTCGTGCTCTCTCTTAAACATACTCTTGAACATACTCTACTGGTAGATCCATCAGTTTTTTAGCTTCTTCTATTCATCCTTCCCAAAAAGTTGTAGAGTGCCTCCTTTTCAAAAGTAAGGTTATACTTCTTGTTCTTTTGATGGGAGGTCTTGGTTCAGTGGTAACAGCTTTTGCCATGTGACCTGAGATCACAGGTTTGAGTTGCGGAACAGATATTTTAGGAAATATAAGATAAGGTTGTAAACATTAATCCTAATGGTCCTGTGCATGCTACGGATCCTATGCACCATTCTGTCATGTTCTCTTTGTAATTTCACTATAAAGCATATCAGCCAACAATGAATTACGGGCACCAATCATGGATTACGGTATCTTTAATTTTAATTTCTCTTTGCTTTTGAATTCCAGGATCAGGTTTTCTCTGATAATGATGCCTTTTTTGCATGGACGTTTGCAAAACGGAGGCCATTGTGGCAAACTCTCCTCTCATTTTCTTGGCCAGTCTTGACACTGGCTATCTGCTTATTTCCTGTTTATCCCCACCGATGCAAGCTACTTATTCTCTACTCGTGCGCCAGTCTCCTTCTCCTTATCCTTTGCCTCCTCCTATGTAAGTTTAAATTTATGTGCTGCTCTGAACCACTCATTACTCATTCATTGGGATCCATTGTGATGTACAATCATACTGTGATTGGTTTTTGTAATGTTCCAAGATGACTCATTTTGGTAGGACCCAGTTTGTGTGCTGGAAGCTGGGTTAATATTATAATGTACAAGGAGTAGTGGGTATAAGAGTAGAGGATGAAACCACTCTTGATTTCCCTCTTCCTTTTAATAAGAAGGATTTCCTTGGAAGTTTTTCTTACTGGATGGGTTGCAAAATGTGGATAAGGTGTAGGAACTTGGCTCTAGGAAATGAAATTGATTGACAATTTTGGCTATGCAGATTTATACTGTTATTATTATCAGCCATGGATGTCTCAGTCAATTTACAATTTATTATTTAAATTTGATTATATGTTTTTACCAACAATAATATTGCTCAAGTGTTTGCAGCCTATGATTTTTTTGCTCTCTTTATGCTTGGTCGGAAAATTGATATATGGGCTGGTTTCGTTTCTTTTTTCGATTGGCTAAGATGATATTTGACATGGATACAGTGCATTGATTAGAAATTTGTAACATAGTTGTCTTGTTTTAAGTAATGTTTTCTGACAGATATTATACTCTCACTAGCTGTTGTTTATACCACTATAGATTGGGGGGAATAATTTCTTCGTCTGTTCTTTCAACACGTATTAATTTTTGATGATGTCTATAATCTGTTGGTGTGCCTGGGTCCCACCTGAGCTATTAACCTAGTCTGAAATATTTTTTACTTGTTAACCTTAAAAAAGCCCTTTCTTATTTACATTATACTGCACGCAATAGGTTTTTATGAATCATGTGTCTATTCCTTTGTATAGAGAGCTTTTATCTATCACTCATACATGCCTTTCAACTTTCTTGTTCCCATGTTTAACTTCAATACAACTTCTGCAACCAATTCAAACAAGTATCTCCTTTTGTAATCTGTATTTGAAGCTGAGTTCTTGGAATAGTTATCTGCAGTTGTACTTTATGTTGCTTATGAAGTAAAACTCACTTTATTCTTTGTAATGAGAATACGGCTGGTGTAAATCTTTGTTAGCAGTTGTACTCTTACATGAAGTTGGTGAATCTTACTGTTGATATGACTCCTCTTGTTCAGCAGTGCCTTATTCTTTGTTTTTTTTTTGATTTCCTTGGGAATGTCTGCTTGGATGTAGTAGTTGACTGCAGTTTGAATGGTGGTATTACTTTGCGGCATCCTGATTCGTACTTTGCAGCATCCTGATCCTGATTTATTGTATTCATTTTCTCACAGTAAGAGGTTTGGTTTTTGGTGCTGGATGGATTTTCCTCGGCAAACGCATTTGGTTTTTCCCCAACATACTTGCAGAGGAAGCAACATTAAAGGAATTATTCCAGTTTTGGCCCCCAAAGGATGAGGGAGAGCGACCAAAATGGAGTGCCAGACTTTTCTACGCTGTTGTTGCTGTTTTGGCTATAATGCTGTTGAAGCATCATGCGCCTGATGAAGCTGCCAGAGCCAGGTTCGTTACCCTGGTTTAACATTAGACTGATCAGAAGTTCCCTATAATTTCTGGTTAAATGTATGAAATTCCTTTTTTCTGTTTGCAGGTATCAGAAGCGGGTGTACAATATTATTGATGATGTGCTTGAGTGGTCACCTAGACTAGCTTTATCCGGGATGATGGAGAAGCAGCCAGTGTTTAATGCCTCTGATCCTAACAACAATTACACTGATGGTGGCAAAGCGAACACTGAAAATGTGGTTTTCCCCGAAGACTCAAATGAGGAAACCGTCTCTGAAGAATTTGAAGTTAAAGAAACAAGTGGAAACCTTGACGAAGTTGATGAAAATGAAATTGAAGTAGAAAATGGATCTGTAGATGACAATGATCATGAGCATCAACGGTTCAAAGATTTGTGATGTAGAACTTTAAAGATGGATAGACGAGTACACATTTTAAATGGTTTTGTTTGCTTGATACAATTTATCTTCTGGGTATGGAACTTTAACCAGTTTGGTTGTAGAATTATTATGTAAACAAAGGTAAAACTAATATTTGTCATTACAAATCGTATGGTATATGGCTTATACATGGTCAACTGCATTCTGCATCCCAGATTCAGTTCAAGTAGGTATAAGGAAATGGATTATTTTTGTAAGGTTTAACGAGTTGAATTACTTTTGTTAGGGATTATTTTTGTTCTGTATTTAGAAAATGAATCTTTTGTTAGGATGGAGGGATCGACTTGAGAAATGTGAAATTGTGATGTGGGATACAATATTAATGACATGTTCATAGTTATTCGCTATAGTCAAATCTTCGTCGTCCATCAAAAATTTTAAAAATATCGCATAACAATATAAGGAACTTCAAAATATAATTTTAAGATTTTTTTAATTAAAAAATACGTATTAAATATAATTTATAATAAATTAAAATGTTTTATATTAAGTATCGGAGGAATATTAATTTTCCTCCCCATCGAAGGATTATATAATACGACTCGCATATCCTCTTCTTTCCCGCGCTCATCTTCCCGCCGGTGGCTTCTCCTTCATCTTCACCGGATGTTAGCTTGATTTTTTAACCAAAGTTTGTTTGGCCTTAGTTTTGGAGTCGTTCATATTTTTGATTTCCTTTTACGTTGTTTATCTGTGGCGTAGTGTGTTCCAGGGTTCCTACCCTATCGGTTGTAGCCTCCTGCATATTCAAAACTCAGGCTAGCAATTCCGACGATTTCTTCAAATCTCCGGTTACGCGTTCCGATAATCATTTGCTTAACCGCGTAAGAAGTATTATCTCTGCTTATTATATACATATATGAGGAAGTGGGTTTTGGATGCAGTCTTTGAGTTGATGCCCCTTATATGTTTGATGATTTGACTGTGTGATTTGAAGGGAGTAGAATTAGGCCTGAATGGTGCCATATCAATGGTGGTTTGGTTGATGGACAAGAAAAGAACACCGGTGAAATGGCATTTCCTTCTGCTTTAATCCGTTCTTTTTCATCTTGCAGAAAGCTTTTCTTCCCAAAGCTTGTACATTCTGCTTACTTTACTTCATTTTCCAATGGCGATGAGTATGATGATCCGCCATTGCAACAGTGGAATGTTCAGGAAGCAGAACCAAAACCCCAGCTTCCGAATATCGAACCTTCATCCAATGCTGATGTAATATCCAAAGTCATACTTGAACATCACAACCCTTTTCACGCCACCGAATCTTCTCTTCAACTCAACGGTGTTACACTTACAACCTCATTAGTCCACCAAATTCTCCTCCGCCTTAGCAACTCTTCCAAAGTTGCCTTGGCATTCTTCCAATATTGCATTTCCCACCATCCTTATTATTCCCATGACACTACTGCCTTCAACATTTTAATTGATGCTCTCTGCCGAGTTCGCCAATTCGATGTTGCATGGCAACTAGTAATTGAGATGGATCAGAAAGGCCAGACTAGTGGTCTAAGTAATTGTTGGCCTAACTTCACGACATTCTACATATTGATCAGAAGGCTAATTTCTGCTGGTCTTACTAGGCAGGCTATTAGGGCATTTGATGACATGCATATTTTTATAGACGACAACAAAAGTGGGTCTGAAAGTAGTAGTGAGGGCTTTTCCCAGTTCCAATTCTGTTTTCTTCTTGACACCCTATGTAAGTATGGATATGCAAAGGTAGCCACTGAAGTGTTTAACAAACAGAAATGGAGGATTGATTTGAACGCAAAGATTTACACCATTTTGATTAGCGGGTGGTTTAAAGTGAAGAAAATAGAGATGGCTAAGAGGTTTTTTGAGGAAATGTTGGAGAAAGGGATTGAACCAAATGTTGTAACGTACAATGTAATGTTAAATGGGATTTGTAGGAGGGCAAGTTTGCACCCAGATGAGCGGTTTGACAAGGTGATTAGGGAAGCAGAAAAGATATTCAGTGAAATGCAAAAGCGAAACATAGAGCCTGACGTTACAAGTTATTCAATTTTACTTCACGTTTATAGTAGAGCCCATAAACCCATGTTGGCTCTTGAGAAGTTGAAGAAGATGAAGGATGATGGGATTTGCCCGAACATAGCGACATATACATCAGTGGTCAAATGTCTTTCTTCCTGCGGAAGACTAAAAGAAGCCGAATCTTTGTTGGATGAAATGGTGTGTAATGGAGTCAGTCCGAATGCTGCAACTTATAATTGTTTCTTTAAGGAATACAGAGGAAGAAAAGATGTTGAAGGTGCAATGAGACTGTACACAAAAATGAAGCAAGACTGTTCCTTTTCTCCACCAACTATACATACATACAACATATTATTGGGAATGTTCTTGAGTTTGGGTAAGATAGGGTTGACAAGAGAGATTTGGGATGATTTAAAAAGCAGCAGTTTTGGACCAGATTTGGATTCATATACTGTGGTGATTCATGGGCTGTGTGAGAGGCAAAAATGGAGGGAGGCCTGCCAGTTCTTTGTGGAGATGATAGAGAAAGGTTATCTACCACAAAAAGTTACTTTTGAGATGCTGTATCGAGGATTGATTCAATCTGATTTGTTGAAGACTTGGAGAAGGTTGAAGCAGAAACTGGATGAAGAATCAATTACATTTGGTTCGGAATTTGAGAATTTGCACCTTAAGCCTTATAAGAGATGAGAGTTTATTTTGTTTACAACATGTAGCAAAATTTCATAAGATTTCATTTGACACTCTCGCTGTCTTTTTAATGTGTGATTAATGTAACATTCATGAGGATGTTTTTGATGGCTTGCACGAAAGATGTGTTGAATATTTTTGAGGAAAAGATTTTGATTGCTTCTTGGGGAATCATGTGGAGCTCAAGAATGTATTGGAATCTAGCAGAAGATGTTGCCAATGTTTTAGTGGCCTGATTGAGTGGTCAAAACTGTTAGGGCCTGTAGGAGGAAATTATCTACTTGGCCAGCTCACTTGGAGATCTTTCTAGTAAGTGATTTTCTAATATCCAAATATTGTGGAAAATTTTACCCACAACTGCACTTGCTTATTTTCTCCTATATTTTGTTTGATTTTTACCGCTGCTGCACAACACAAAAGTTGTTTGTCTCTGAATCTCTGTGCAGTCTAATATGTTGATCCAAGCTTTAAGTTGCCTTCTATGGTAGTTTGATACAAGTTTTTGAATTCGGTTTGTTTTATTTTTCTTTAGCTTCAGCACATCATATGAGCATTTGTCAGTAATATCTTCTAGATGTTTTTTTCTCTTGCTTTATTTTAAAGATCCTCCAGTGTTCTGCAAATGCTATTGGTTCTGTGCGCCTGTCTGCTCTTATGTTGCATATTATTATTATAATTTCCCTGTAAACCATGTTGCGGGGCAATAAACTTAACAAAATGTGTGACTATAATCATGGATTATTGGCTGTTTCTCAAGTACTCCCTCTGTCCCAAAAGAATTGTCCATATAGAGTTTGGGACAGAGGGAATAATACTATTTTATTTCAAAACTGAATGTGGACAATTTTTTTGGGACAGAGGGATTACTATAAAATCTCTCTTTCAAAATTTATTTTGCTTATAAGCCATGATTTCAGTCCTTGCTATAAGTTTGATATCTCTTTGCCTTTTGAATTCCTGGATGAGGTTTCCTCTGAGAATGATGCCATATTCGCATGGTTGTTTGTAAAACGGAGGCCGCTGTGGCAAACTTGACTTTCACTTTCTAGGCCAGTTTTGACACTGGCTATCTGTGTATTTCCTGTTTTTCCCCAATGATGCAAGCTCCTTATTCTCTACTCATGCATCAGTCTCCTTCTCCTATCCTTGACTCCTATATAAGTTTCAAATATTGTAGAACGCTTGATATGCTCATTCAGTCTTGTGAGGAGACAAAAGTTTATTTTAACTGCTTTCATTTTTGCCCAATCATTTTTCTTTAAGAGAACTCTTTGAATGACTAGATGAACTATTTGAATGACTGGGCTATGGGTAGCACCCATTATAATGTACAAACAGTGCATGAGTATTTTTGTACTTTTCGAATACAAATATTTTTCAGAAAACTATTATGAGGCAGTTGTGCTCTGTATGGTAGGTGAATATTATATTGTACGCTGAGAATTGGGTATTAGAGTAGAGAATGAAACCATTCTTGATTTGATCCCCTTTCAATAACAAGGACTTCCTTGGAAGTTGTTTATTGCTAGATGAGCTGCAATATGTAGATAAACTTCAGAAACCTGTCTCTAGAAATTAAAATTGCTCAACGAATTGGGCTGTGCAGATTTTATGTCCTTCAATTTATTGTTTACATTTGAATTAATGTCTCACCATCAAGAATCTTAAGGCTACTCAAGCTTGCAGTCTATAGTTTTTATTCTCTAGTTATGCTTGGTTGAAAATTTGAAATTGGGGCTGGTTTCTTTTTCTTTTTTTTTTTTTTTTTTTTTGTATAGGCTTATTAGATGACTTAATTGGATTCCCAAATTTGTTTTGATTAACTTGGTTGGGAACATACTGGTATGTTGAAGTTGAATTTGAAGAAGAATGTTACCTGACAGATATTACATTTTCACTAATCGTTGTATGTGTTACTTGGTCTACTAGATTAAGGGCAATAATTGTTGTCTGTTCTTTCAAGAAGTTATAATTTTTTTGCAGATGTTGTTTAGCTTCGGTATTTCTGGCTCACACCTGAGCTATTTCCTCTGAAGTCTTACTATTTACATTACAATGCTTGCAAAAGGTTTTTATCCTCCATTAGAATTCCCTTGCAGGGGGTTCTTTTCAATCTATACATGGCAATCAACACTCTTCTTCCATGCTCATCTTCAATACAACTTCTGCAACCATTTTAATTATTTTATACTTGGCTACAAATTCTATGAATTGTCTCTGTTTTTAATTTTGATTTTGAAGAGTTGTTCTTGGAAAATCATTTGTGGTTGTTCTTTATGTTGCTTATCAAGCAAACCTCACGTAATACTTTTTAATGTATGCTCGGCTGGTTACTAAATTTGTGTTAGCAGAATGTGCTTCTACTTGAAGTTCTGAACCTTAGTGTTAATATGACCTATTTGTTTCAGTTGGTCATTGATTCAAATTTCCTTGCTATCCTTGCATATTTGCCTCCTTTGAGTGGAGTGTATGGTTGACGGCAGATTGAATGTTTGCGGTGCTTTGCAACATTCTAATTCTGATTTTTTTTTTTTTCTTTTCCTTTTCATGTTTTGTGTTCTCACAGGGAGAGTTTGGTTTTTGGTGCTGGATGGATTTTTCCCCAGCACACTTGCTGAGGAAGCAACATTAAAGGAACTATTACAGTTCCCTTCCACCCACCCCCAAAAAAAAAAAAGATAAGGGAGAACTACCAAAATGGAGTGCCAGACTCTCTTCTACACTGTTCTTTCTGTTTGGCTATAATGCTGTTGAAGCGTCATGCGTTTAGATGAGGCTGCCGTAGCCCAGAGCAAGGTTTATTATCTTAGTTTAATATTGGACTAATGCCACAAATTTCCTCTAATTTCTCGTTGAATGAATGCATGAGAGTCTATCTGTTTGTTCTGTTTGCTGGAATCGGAAATGGGCTACAATATTATTGATGATGTGCTCGGGTGTTCACCTTGACTAGCTTTATCCAGGATGATGGAGAAGCAGTCGGTGTTTCTAAGGCCACTGAGGGTGGCAAAGCGAATGCAGAGAGGGGAAACCATCTCGGAGGAAGTTGAGTTTATCGAAATATTTGGAAACACTGAAGAAGTGGATGGCAGTGATATTGAAGTGGATGACAATGATTTGTGATTTTGAACTTTAAAGGTCGATATCAAACTATGAATGCCAAATGGTTTTGTTTGCTTGATTCCATTTCCACCTATCTTTTGGGTTCCTTTCATTAGTTGGATAGTAGGATCAGTTTATTAGTAATCACAAATGTAGTCTTTAAATATAAATAAAAATATTCAATAAATTTCTTTCTACTTGGTGTTTTGAGTGAAAATTGTGTAAAATGGAAAAATTTTACTGCCTGGCCCCATTTTATTTATTGATTAATTAAATCTTCAACAAATTCCTCTTTTCAGTTTATCACTTTATCTTACTTCAGTGATATGCTCTGTAGAAGCAGCTGGAACTAAAGCAGTACATAACTTTTTTTTTTTTTGTTTTTTTAATATATCCTGCCGGGCTTTTTAACCGGAATTTCAACTTTAGAAATTGCCAGCCATGATATCAGTACTGTAAATTATTTTTTACAATTTACAACCTTTTTTATGGATTAGATATACAAAAAATATTTATATATGTCTTCCATAATGTACTATTTTATAATAATTAGCAAATTGCACTATTAAAAAATAAGATTACTATTTTGCAGTTAGGGTATATTCGAGTCGAACCGAGCTTGAGTAGTGGTATACTCGAACTCGAATAATTTTGTTCGCCGAGATTAATTATATTATTAATTATAATCGAGCCGAGCTACTCGTTGAGCTTTTGAGGTCAACATTTTATACTCGAACTCGGCTCGATTAATCAACGGTACTACTCGAATTCGACTCGAATTTGGTCAAACTCGAACCGAGTTAAAGTCATTGATCGAGTAGCTTGTCAGTACTCGAACTCGGCTCGATTCGTTTAATAACCCTAGTTTGCACTTTTGATTTTTATATAATTTTCTTGTGATCTTCTTCAATAACTAAGTTTTAGTTAGTTATTAGAATCGATAAAATGACAGATTGCAAAATAAGTTCATGTGTATTTGAAAAGAACATAAGCAACATAGACCACACAGTGATATCAATGGGGGACAAACATTATTAGGTGCAAAATACTTGTTTGCCTTTGGAGGATTGACTCTTATTTAATGATATTCAAGATTTATTAGGTCTTTTCCTTTTGGAGTACTAAGAAAATATACTATCATTTCAAGAAATGAACTTATAGAAATTTTTCCATTGTACTTATAAACTTCAGATTGGACCATCACAACAATAAATAAAAATTATAAGATAATAAGTTATTTTTTTTTAAAAAAAAATCTATATTGAAATTTAAGTCTCGTCAACCAATAACCATCCAAAATATTAAAAAACAAAATTAGGAAAAGTTTCTAAAATATGAATATAGAATAGTTTGATTTTTCTGAAATTTACGTTTCTACATCATAAAGTAGAAATATTGTACTATAATTCAAATCTATTCTCAGCGACTAATCTGTACATAAGTAAATGTCTGTTATTGAGTTTAGAATCTTGAATATAAAATAGTCAGAAATTAAATTGAGCATTCTGATTGGCTCATTAATTCACATGACATCATCAGTTTTAAATTGAGCCCTTGGATTGGTTAAGGTATTAACATGACATCAGCAATTAAAAATAAGGCTACAATGATCAATTAATTAAATTATTATTTTTTTTGCCAACCAAATATGTCATTAGCCGAGAGAAATAACCTAATTAATGTGATATAAGTAAATGTCTCTTATTGAGTTTAGAATCTTGAACATGATTGATGGGAAATTAAATTGAGCATTCTGATTGGCCCATTAGTTCACATGACATCATCAGTTTTAAATTGGGTCCTTGGATTGGTTAATACATGACATCAACAATTAAAAACAAGGGTACAATGGTTAATTAATAAAATTATTTTTCTTTTTTTACCAACTAAAAATGTCATTAGCCGAGAAAAATAACCTTTAATGTGGCCGACTGATTTTGACTGATATGCTGAAGGACCTATGACCTTGATTGGTACTACATCATTTGGTTTTTGAGCTTTTCTCCCGAAGTATATGATTTGAGTTAGGGTTGAAACCATTTTCTTGCATTGAAGCTTCGGCTAAAAAAAAGCTTCTCGAGAGGTGTTATTGGTGTTCCTAGCTTTAGAAGGATTTATGGGGACACCAATGGAATGGCAGTTCACCTCCTTTTGGCAAAAGCATTGGTTTAGTTCCTTGCCACATTTTCAGTGATGGAAAGCCATGAACACAAAGAACTTAATCCTAAGCAGTGAGTAATACGGATTAATTTCTTATGGGAAAATGTAGGAAACCTTGTATATGATGACAATTTGAAGATGTTTTAAGTTTTTCATCTTGTTCTAGAACATGTCTGTTATGTAGTTTTGTTATTTGAGCAACATGGTTCTGCTATTCTGTTGTAGCACAACTGAAAAAAACTAGGCCTAAATTCCCAGGGAAAAAGAAAACTAGAATCCTGATCAAATGTTTGTTCCAGAGTGTTTTTATAGTGATTTGTAAATTCTTAATCTAAGTTTTTTAATACTACTTGAGCACACAATTTGGTTAGGTGTCCCTTGTCAAAGTGCAAAATTGTTCTCATAATCTCATTGGTTAAAATACAAAGCACTGCTACAGTCAACGACATCAATACGTAACTCCAAAATCTATTCTTTATAAGCAATGAAGATTAATAAGGTATCTATTACGCCAAAAAAATGTGACTCTAAGGTGCTACTGTAAATTCTTAAATGGTAAACAATTAAAATTTTGTGGACGAATGAAAAAAAAAAACTAATAATATGACCATTTGAAAACGAGTTCCTGTTGATATAATGACTCGGACAAGTCGCGCTACGGAAACAAATCTAGTTTTTGGAAAAATGTCTCTTACATAACTTATCAATTAAATAATAGTTTTATAAATTAATGCAATTGCAAAGTTCCACAGTACTAATTTATGTACTTTTTACTATAAAATATGATCTTGTCATATTACATGCAAGGAAAAAAGGTTGTGTTTTTTATTGTTATAATTAATCTCAGTTACTTTACTAATTTGAGTACTACTTGTTGGTCTGGAGTTTTTTTTAGATGTACTCCCTCCGTCCCATAATTATTGTCCACTTTTACTAAAATGAAAAATTTTATTTTTGGTCAAACTTAACTATATTTTACCTTAAACAACCGGATATACCCCTACATAAGTAATTGTTTAACCATTAAGACTTTATGGATAATGTTTTTTACTAAGGACAAATGTGTAACTTGATCCATAAAAAGTCAAATTGGACAATAATTTTGGGAAAAAATTTTTTAGGCAAAGTGGACAATAATTATGGGACGGAGGGAGTAATAGTTTATTTTTTTAGGTTTTAACCTCTTTCATTGTACCCAAAAAACAACTCTAGTATGAAAATCTTAATGCTTTTGTACTAAAAGTTTAATTTTTCTTTTGTTGTAAGACAAAAGAAAACTATTGCCATAGCTTTTCTTTTTTCCCCCCAGTGTAATCATATTAGTAACATTGTAATATGTCTTTTTTCCCTATAACAGAAGAGGTAATAATAATAATAATAATAATATAAATATTACTATTTCCATAGCAATTTTTAAAATATCACAAACCTTGAAGGAGAAAAGAAGGGGAAAAAAAGAAAATCTAAAACCTGGAGCCTGGACGACCGCTTTTCAAATTTCAAACGACGACGTTCGGATGGATGTGTTGATTTTTTTTTTTTAATTTTTTTATTTTGGTAATATATATTGTTCCAACTCTACAATTAGAGGAGGTTGATTGATTATTTGTAGGGTTTTTATCTGGTGTCCTCGCTCTCTCTCCTCTCGTCGCATCTTCTCCTTCCGATACTCATCTTCATATCATACAGGTAATTATTCTTCATCTTCATCGTATATGAACTTGATTTCGAAGCAAAGTTGTTTGCCCCTGGCTTTGGAATCGTTAATTTTTTTACTTCGTTTTTTGAGCCGTAGTGTATTCTAGGGTTCCTACCTCCCGATTGATGCCATAATACTGATGATTATGTTGCTGATTTTTTTCCTTTTTTTCTAAATGTTGTTGTGTTGTGCAGTTCTGATTGAATCCAGAGCTATCAGAATCTCCTGTTCTCCAGGGCACCGAATTTCAGGTTTTTATTTTATTTATTATGATTTCTGCCTGCGGCGAAATATGATTAATGTAAATTAATTTTGTTGGAAGTAGGGATTGTTTTTAACTGTTAAGCCCTCGACATGATGTTTTGACTGCTTTAGTACCTAAGGCTAGAGTTCTCGATTTGAATCACTACCTATTTCACTTGTATTTTGTTAGAACTAGGGTATCTTTGTTGTTACAGGTCTCTTCAAATGGCATGCATACACTATGTAAAATTGCTCCTTTAATCTAATTTATCTTGTTTTTAATACTCTTTTGAGTAGCATGTGTGGGTTACTTGCCAAGATGTTATTTCTGTCCTGTGCTACATGTTACCTGATAATATGCTCACATGCTCGAGCGGAATTATTTATCTGCAAATTATCCCTTGTGTGCTTGAATTTTGGGTCAGGAGTAGTCAATAGGATGGTAATTAGTTTGAGCTGGAATTTGTGTGCTCACCATTTGCGGGATATAATGTGCTCGTGGTATCGTGTTGTTTGCTATTTTATGTTCCCCTTTAACTATGTTTATGTATTTTTGGCTGCTTGTACTTGTTTCTTCTTTATTTGTTGAAGTGGTGTCATGGTGGATATATGTTGTTATGAGGAAATAGTTAGGTGGACTGATTGTTGTTGTTCTGTTTTATTAGGAGGTTTACACTATGGCGACTGCTGAGGCAGCGCCAACATCTTTGGGTCCTCGGTATGCTCCTGACGATCCGACTCTGCCACAACCTTGGAAAGGATTGATTGATGGTAGCACTGGTGTTTTATACTATTGGAATCCGGAAACAAATGTTACTCAATATGAAAAGCCTGCTGCTGCAGCACCTCCATTGCCGTCTGGTCCTCCTCCCTCCGCTTCTACATCCACGATGGCCCCTGTCCAAGTTGCTGATGTTCAAGGCCATCATATGCAAAATCAACAGCAAACAAGTCCTCTTTTGCACCAACAAGTAAACACAAATTCTTCTCAGTCCGCTCAACAGCATAATTACCTGGTGCACCCTAGTGGGCACAACCAACAGGGTTCACCGCAAGTGGGATCAACTTTGCAACAAGTTCAGCTAACAGCACAACCCCTAAGACCTCAAAGTATGCAATTTTTTGGTCAACAACCCTCTTTTACGCAATTGGGGCAAGTACAGGGGCAGCAGGCTGGACAACAAGTTTCACAACAGCCAATCCACTCGATGGGCCATACAGGTCAAATCTATCAGGGTGGGAATCCGCAGAGTTATAATCGATTTCCTCACCAGCAACAAGCTCAGTACATGCCACCTTATCAACAGCATCTAATCGCGTCGCAGAGTCATCCCCAAGCCTTGCAAGGGCAGCAGTTCCCCGGTCAGCAAGATAACAAGTCAGGATTTGTTCCCTCAGAGGATACTGATCAAGTTGGACATTCACCTGTACGTGTTCAGAAAAATGGTTCATCGTCATCTATTCAAAATGTTCCAGCAGGAACAAGTTCTCTACAGGCACCTCATATGAATGTTCCGCCTAGTCAGTATGTCAGTTCCTCGATGAACATGCAGCAGTCTGCATCTCCTCTAGCTTTTCCGCAGAGTGGGTCCCAAGGTGCTCCTAGGTTCCAGAATCATGTGAGCCCTGTTATTAAAGGTGGTGGTCAACAACAGCCAAATGTGCCTCCTTATGGCCCAAAGCCAGGTCTTGATGACGGACAACCTTCTGGACGAGGTGGAAATGATTTTTTTTACAATCGTAACCAGGACAGCAGCCAAGGGATGGTCCCTCAACAGCAGCCGAAGCTTGCAGCAATTCCCATGGCAAGAAATAATCAGGTATTCCAATTTTTTGATGTTATTTTTATAGTTTTCCACTCCTTCCTTTTTGTAAATCTGTAAGATATGGTTACTTCCTATTTTGCCATGAAATTGCTGATAGAAGTGCCAAGTGTAGAAGATTTGAATTGTGATTTTTATTTGTGCTTATTTTGTCTCTCTTGTTTGGCTAATAGCAAGAGATGAGGAGGGGTGATGTCCACCTTCAAAATGTCAGGCCCAATTTTTCCGGGGGTGGGAATGGTATGACTGGTCCGCCTCCTACGCATGACGTATATGGTCGTCCTACTGGCGTGCCGTCGTTTCCCAACAATTCTTTCATGAGGCCTCCTGCAGGCATCACGGGGCCTGCTGACACTGGTGTCATGCCGCTTTCGCCTGCAGACCTTTATTGCCAGACACATGAAGTAACTGCGACGGTGTGTACTGTTTTCCTTGATTAGCGATTTCTTTTAACTATAACAGAATTGAATCTGATCTTCCTTTGTATTTCTTTTCCTCTTGTATGCTTGCATGCTAAGTTGTGATAGTTAACTATTATTATGCTGTTATTTTTTTATTTATCTAAATTCAACCTTAGGATGGGAATTTTAGTATCTAACTTATGGTTATAGGTAGATGATCTTTGTAACTTTTTTACTACTACTGTAAGTAATAAACTTAAGTTGTGAATGTTGGTTGCTAAATAGTAAGGATTCTTTGGCCTGATTTGTGGTTAACTTTTAATCTGGAATGCTAGAGGTCTTAAGGTCAATATTCTCAAAAGCAAGATATTTGGTCAGCATCATTAAACTTGTTTGCCAAATCTTTTGCTTGGTTAACTATCTTATGATTTCTTCTAGCAATCTTCCGTTTCTGTGTTGGATCTGATACGATCGATCATTTTTTTTTTTCTGTAATTCGATTCCTTTCAGGGTGACAATGTTCCTGCTCCTTTCATCACATTTGAGTCCACGGGGTTTCCGCCAGAGATACTGAGGGAGGTAAGTGTTTTCATTCATATAAGTAATGAAGAATTATTCCCCGTGTGTTTGACTACATAGAGTCGTCATCTTCTATTCTTGCCCTTTCCACGAAACATTAGTTTTCAAGCTTATCATATCTCACTTGTCGCAGGTGCGATATTTGCTCCACAGGAGGAGCACATGTCGTACGCTGCCAGTGCCTATGCTATGCTCATGCACTTTCGGAACAAGTACTATTCTGAGTTTTTGAGGCTGCGAAAGTGGCCAGTTGGGAGCTTTCTTTGGAAGTTTTTGAAGGGTCCATATGACAATATTTATAGGACTGGATTTCTAGCTTATTGGCTCAGCTTCATCTGTTTTAGTTGCCCCTTTTTGTTGCATCTCAAGTTGCTTTTCAGTAAGCAACTACATACCCATCAGTTTCTTTTGGCTATCGTTTCATATTTTTCAGAACTTTTCCTTCGGAGCATGATTTGTTTCTGTTTTGTTGTGTTGTAGTTTGTCGTACTTTTCAGTTCTTGCTGGTCTCTTTTATGCATCATTTTTTACGGTTCCAAGGTCTCATTATGTAATATCTTTATTGTTTCAGATGCATTTTGCTGGTTTCTCGTCACCAACACCGATCCAGGCGCAAACTTGGCCGATTGCCTTGCAGGGTAGGGACATAGTTGCCATTGCGAAGACTGGTTCTGGGAAAACACTGGGATACCTAATACCGGCATTTATGCATCTTAGAAGACTCCAGAATAATCCACTGTACGGCCCGTCTGTGTTGGTTTTGGCCCCAACACGGGAACTTGCCACACAAATACAGGATGAAGCCATCAAGTTTGGCCGATCTTCTAGAGTGACTTGCACAGTCTGTATTCTTCCTTTTTTGCTGTGTAAGTTTGTGTTTCCTTTCAAATGGATGATGAATGTGCCTTTGTTCTCTTTCTAGTGTTTGTATGGGGGTGCTTCGAAAGGTGCTCAGTTAAAGGAACTCGAGAGGGGAGCTGATATTGTGGTGGCCACTCCTGGTCGTCTTAATGACATTCTTGAGAGCAAGAAGATTGATTTTAGGCAGATCTCGCTTCTCGTGCTTGATGAAGCCGATCGAATGCTTGACATGGGATTCGAGCCTCAAATTCGGAAGATTGTCGATGAAATACCGCCACGGCGACAGACACTTATGTACACTGCAACTTGGCCTAAAGAAGTAAGAAAAATAGCAGCCGATCTTCTTGTCAATCCAGTTCAGGTGAACATTGGGAGTGTTGATGAGCTTGCTGCCAATAAGTCAATCACTCAGGTAATAGTACTGACACAAGAAATAAAGTACACTTCCTCTGTCCCAGAATGAAAATCCAAATTGGACAATCATTTTGGGACAGTGGGAGTAATTTTGACTAAGATGATTTATTCTTAAGTGATTAACTTGGAAACCAAGAAAAATGTGATTCAGAGCTGGAAATTGTTATATTAGTCCTCTCTCTCTCTTTCTCTCTCTCTCTCTCTCTCTCTCTCTCATTAAGTTGAAATGTGTTTGGTTTCCAGTACGTTGAAGTTGTCCATCCAATGGAGAAGCAAAGGCGCTTGGAGCAGATTCTGAGATCCGAAGAGCGAGGTTCCAAGATTATAGTTTTCTGCTCAACGAAGAAGTTGTGTGACCAGCTCGCACGAAGTATTGGGCGTAACTTTGGTGCTGCCGCAATTCATGGAGACAAAAATCAGAGTGAGAGGGATTATGTTTTGAATCAATTTCGCTCTGGAAAGACGCCCATTTTAGTAGCCACTGATGTGGCAGCTCGTGGTCTTGATATACGAGACATAAGGTTTGGAATATCGCTGTCTCTTTGATATCTTTTTTTAAAAAATTGGTATTTAGATACAATTCTTTACTGTGCAGGGTGGTTATCAATTACGATTTTCCGACTGGCATTGAAGATTATGTCCACCGTATTGGAAGAACTGGAAGAGCAGGGGCGACAGGAGTGGCATATACCTTCTTTTCTGAACAGGACTGGAAATATGCTGCTGATCTCGTAAAAGTATTGGAGGGGGCAAATCAGGTTGTGCCTCCCCAGGTTAGAGATATGGCTTTACGTGGTGCCTCTAACTTTGGCAGAGATAGAGCCGGTGGCATGAATCGCTTTGATTCCGCCGGCAGCGGAGGACGCTGGGAACCTGCTGGCGGTCGTGGTGGTGGGATGAGAGAGAATGGGTTTGGTGGACGAGGTGGTGGAATGAGGGATGGTGGTGGCTTTGGTGCACGTGGAGGGGGGAGAGAGGGTGGGTTCCCAGGGCGAGGTGGCATGAGGGATGGAGGTTTTGGTGTTGGCCGTGGCGGAAGCTTTGGTGGCGGCCGTGGTGGGATGAGGGATAGCGGCGATTATGGTGTCCGTGGGGGAAGAGATGGTGGCTTTGGTGGCCGTAGTGGTGGCTGGGACAGGAATGAGCACTTCAATCAAATTGATGGTAGAGGAGGGCGTGGGGGCAGAGGAGGGCGAGGTTGGGGGGGTCGGTTTGATAATAATAGAAGAGATGTCGGAGATAGGAGTGGAGGAAGAAGCTACAGCCGTAGCCCAGAGAAGGTAAGAACTTGGGGTAGCAGGAGCAGGAGCCGGAGCCTTAGTAGTAGAAGTTACAGTCGGAGTCGCAGTAGGAGTAGAAGCTGGTCCAGAAGTTATAGCCCAAGGCGGCGTAGCCGTAGCCGTAGCCGTAGCCGTAGCCGAAGTCGAAGCAGAAGCAGAAGCAGAAGCAGAAGCACAAGTTATGAAAGGTATCGGAGTAGGCGTCCACCTCGCCAATCTAAGTTTGATCAAATGGAACCAAATGTACCAAATGCAGCAGATGTTGTGCCTCCATCAGGTATGCCTCCTATCTCGTCAGCTACTACACAACAAGGGAATGGATTTTCTGGAGTTTTGCCGGCAGTTGTTGGACAGGCACCACTGTTAAGTTCAAGCACTCATGATGGCGGGGGTTCTGCCCGGGTCTATGGAGGATCTGATCCTAGCAATTTTGGCAGTGAACCGTAACAAGATGCGTCTGATTATCATCTGCATTTAGTACTGCGTGCTGGAATATTTGGTTGAACCTGCTGGAACCCACTAAGTCGTACTTTTGAGTTTGGGGTGGTGCGGAAAGACAAACGATTGTTGTAGAGGAAGCCTATTTTTTCTCGGTTGGAATTGGACTATTTTACATTATCCTGGCATCAGATCCAAAAATTTTGTCCATTTTTGTTCCAAACCCTAACTTAGGGGCTCTCATTTATTTATTTTGCGGGGTAAGTATATGATTGGTATGTACTGGGTTGATTTGAGATCCAGTACAGTAGTAGGTCAAAAGGTAGATAATACTTTATTGTTATAATTATTTTTATCATTATTATTGTATTACATGTTGCTGGGTTGTTCAAATAGCAGTGTCCTTTTGTTTAATTAAATCCTCGTATGCTATGTTGGTTGTTTGTTCATATTGTTACCTTTTGTTCTGATTCATATGAATAAACTGAGGATTTTTGAGCCAACTTGAGATTTGGGTTATTATTTTAAATGGTCCACCTCAATTACTGTCGTAAAATGCTGTATTTCTTTTCGTATACATGTTCATTTCCATTGGGCCCAGTTTATTTTGGATGTTTGGAGAGCTTAGGTAAGCGTTATATCTTGATTATTTTGATGGATTGCTGTGCTTTGAAAAAGTTTCTGCAACATTTCTGAGTTTTAGGTTTTTTAATTTTTTTCTTTCAGTTGTATCATATTTTGGACTTCATTAGTTTAGTTTAGTCTAATTTGAATTCCCATTTATCCTTATTTTTCCAATTCGTTAAAAAAGTTTGTGTGGTTCTCAGCAGAGGTGCGTCGGAGGGAAATCTCCCTATAATGTTAAAAGTGCATTTTCTTCCCTGTTGATGGAAATCTTAATACCAAAACACATCCGGGAAGTTGATAGTTCTGTTGGATATAGATTCTGTGTGGGTTGTCTTGCATGAAAAACGTGTTGATTTTTGAGGAAAATATTCTGTTAGGTTCGCGTGAAATCATATGGTGCTGAAGGATGTATTATTATAGAAGAATCTTCTTCTGTATGATCGAGGGGCCAAAGACTTTTAGGGGCCTTGCAGGACTGTCTAGTTGGCCAGCTCACCACCGAAACGTTTTCTCTCCCGTCAGTTTTTGTGCATGTGTTTCAGTGGAGACTAACATGTTGTCAGGGACTTGCTATAACTTGAAACCTTGGGTCTGTATAGAAGATTATGTTGAAATTGTTTTATTGACTAAAAGAATCTCTTTGTTTTGCTGATAAAACTTAGTTGGTCGCTTTAGGCCTAATGGCCCTGACATGCAAGAGTTCTATGAGCTGATTTTCCCTTGTTTTATTGCATGTTATCATTGTTCACTTACCTTTATGCATTTTACTAGACAAAGTGGATATGGAGGGAGTATTTGTGTTTTCATTCATTTATTTCTCAAAAACTTTGCCTAGCTTCCGTGAACTCTAATTCAAGTACTGGGTTGAAGTTTGGTATCTTATTTCTCTTAAATCCCAGGCTCAGCTGATAATTATATCTTTTCCATTTTCTTGTCCAGTGCTCCCCCTGGCGGTCTGTTGATCTGATATTGAGCACTGGTGCTATTAACATTTCTGTACTCATGCTTTAGCCTATGTCCTGGGATGAAGCTAAGTTCTCATTCATTGTAGTCCTGTGATGGAAATCATGGGGTACTTGGATGTCAATTCATTTTATGATTTACATTCAAATAGATGTTTTACCATCATTGCTAGAACCCAAATGTCAGCTATCTACGGCTTTTCTCTACTTTCGTCTTCTTAAAAAACGAATACTGGCTGGTTTCTTTATTAGATGATACATTATATGGATATGGAGTGCCCATGCCATCTGAATGCAAGATTGACAGATGGTGGTTGTACAAAAGAACCATAAATCCTAGTGACTACCAATCGTATTGCCATTTATAAGGTTTTTGGACAAATGTAAAGCTAGGGTTTTTGGGCTGATGTAAAGCTTTCACAGGTTGATATTTCTTGCTGTAGATGACTGAGAGATAACCCCTAGTATCTGTTCTTTTGACTAGTATTTAGCCTTTTGCAAATATCTTGAATTTCACGCTTGCTCCAGCTATTTCCTAGTCTTGCGTTACGAGACTGGTGAGTGGTTGTTAGCCACTTCATGAATTTTCTTGTTAGGTGGTTATGTCAGTAAGTGTGAAACACGCCCAGCATTCTGATTTCATGGTTTCAAGTTCTGTCTTATTCCTTGGTACATTTTAGCTGCTTGTGTGGGAGTATTGCTGTTTGAATGTAAACTAGTACTTTACAGTATACACCCCCATTTCCTTATTGATGGAGGATTAGCTCTCATAGAGTCATAGAGAGTTTGGTTTTTGGGGCTGGATGGATTTTCCTAAACACATTTGTGTTTTCTTTACTCTGACGAGGGAGAGTGAATAAATTGGACTAGCATATTGTTTTGGCAGAAGCACATTTGTGTGGTTAACCCACCCATCCGCCTTTTTATATTCTCAGCAATATATTTCTTTACATTGTTAATAAGAACCTTATTTAAAAACACATACTGCAAAATGATAAAAATATAATTTCTTGCTCTTCCGGCTCCGGGTTTCAGCTGAGATTGAACTAAATAACATAAACATCCATCGGGTTTAGATGAGACAGAAGACATCATGTTCTTGATGTCCTATGAACCCTTTCTTTCATTTGTTCCCACTACATACCAATGTTCACTGTTAGAATAATAGATGCATTTTCTTTCAAGATGAAATACAAAGACTATTCCAATTAGGTACATTATAATGAGTCTAGCCAGCGAGCCAGCTGATATATAATTACATCAGCCCAAGGAAAAAAAAAAAGAAGAGTTTAAATCATTCTTCATGATTAAATGCATTAATCATAGCGGATGGTGAGATTACATCTTATGACAGAATACAGAATAGATGGGTCAAAAAATACTGTATCTAAAGTAGCATATCCCTTAACAAATCGAAACCTACCAGTACCTCCAACAATTGCGTATTCTCTAACATCTGCTAGTTGGAAACTGTTACCTTGTAGTTCTAAGGTACTACCATTGTATTCTCTGTTGGTGAAAGCAATCGAAACCGAAAGATGGGTGCTCAGCCCATCTTTTGATGAGGTTACATAGATTCCTTGGCCGCGGGCGATTTCAGGTGAATTTTTATCAATTGTTTCAGTTATGGGATCATCGGAGACAAACACGGACCCGTATTGAAGAAATCCAGGCGTCGTGCCCGGGATCCCGGCGACTGCGACGACAGTTGCGTTAGGTCCAGTAGCAACATCTTGGAAGAACACACTCATCTTTGTTTCCTTACATGGATGAGAGGCTGTTGTGGAAAAGGCAAAGACAACCAAGATAAAAGTTGTGTAGAGTTTGATGGATGGTGATGATAGTGCAAAACTTGGCGCCATTAAATTTTAGGGAGAAGGAAATTTGTTAGCTGACTTAGCTCATTTCAAGAGCTATACTACACCCTAATTATAGGAATTCGTGCAAATCATATATGTATAAGAACGTGCTTTTTGAATTACAGAATAATGATAAAATTGACAGCTCTTTGAAATTTATACTAAAAATAATATAAAATTTAATGTGAATTATTTTTTTTGGAATACTAGGTCCATCTGACAACCATTTCTTGTTAAGTACATTTTTTTATAAATCATGATTTGTTACATCGGGCCTCATGTTGGATAAAGAATGATATAGAAATAATAAAAGTCAAAATTGAAGTTCCTAAGAAATTCATTTATAGTAAAAGATTGAGCTAATAGAGTAATAGTTCCAAAAAAAAAAAAAACCCCCAATTTACAAAGTGATACTTTATTGAAGCTAGTAGTTCTGTTTGATTTACTGTGAATAAATAACACTTTATTGAAAGTAATACCAGCTTCGAGGTAAGAAGAAACCAAGCTAAATAAACCATTGGGCTACACTTTTGCATTCAAAAGGAATACACTCAAATCGAACGAACATTAATTTTAAATGTGACATATGCTTTATGTTCACCGAACATTTTATAGCTCTTTCAAAGCTTTCACATGCCTTGATGCAGACGGCTGACCTGTCAATTATTGGCAACTGATAAAGTTTGAAACAAATAAAACAGCATTTCACTCATACCTAATGCGAAAAATAAATACAAAGAGTAGATAGAATCTGCCAAAAAATAAATCTCAAGTAGTTAGACTAAATATATATTTGATTATATTCCATAGCCAACCGATAACGACTTTGATTGGAAAAAATTATAATACTCTCTTTGGTTTCAGAAAAATTGTCTATTTTATTAACTAAAACAAGAGAATAAATTATTTTTTCAAAATAGAATTAGTATATTTAATTTCCGCGTGTCAAAAAACTAAGTAGGTTGGCCGGCATATGGCCGACTTGGCACAACACAAAGTTTCCATCATTACTTTTTGTTTAATTCTTCAATTTGACCTTAATAATTGCGATAAAAAGAAAATGTCTAATATGCTCGGAAAATGAAACGTTATTTGTTTGTTCACGGCTAATAACAAATGCTAGGATTTTAATATAGCAAAGTCTACCAAGGTACGCTTGAAACCAGGAAAATAATAATTTGAGGTAAGTATGATATTAATCGCAAATTGGTCAAATTGAAATGCTAGATTATTTTTTTTGTTCGTATGTATATTGAAAAAAGAAAAATGATCTTCACCACATTCTATTTTTTTCTTTCTAAGTTTTGGTCCCAAAAAAAAAAAAAAACTCTTAAACGTTTTTTGTTCTCATTTTTATACACATACGTGTATTCACAGACATTTTAATACATTTTTATCCCTTCTTTCTTCCACTTTTACCTTAAATTAAATGGAACTTGAGAACCTACTTTGCTCGTTTACTAGAGCCAATATGGCATCATTTAGAAGAAATCGTGATTCTTTAGCTATGAAATTCTATGGTATTTAAATTTATTCCATCAAAACCATCTCGTGTGTCTAGTTCTCCTAATTTCTTTCCTGGATCCGACTATGGATTTCGGTCTAGCGCATTCAAATAGTGTGTGCTTCATGTTCACGGGTCAAAGTTTACAAAAGAAAATTAGGGAAAAAGTGGAAGAAAGAAGGGATAATATTTAGTATTTTGTTGTTTTGGATATGTGAAATCAGATTAGGTATAGTGATAGAAAAGTCAGCGTTGGTGTGTTCTTAGGAAAATTAGGCAGCAAAATTGTAATTTTGTAATCTTAGGCTTTTTAGCCTCCTCAATATATATATATATATATATATATATATATATATATCAATAAAAGTTTACAAAAGAAAAAATAAAAATTGCGTCCGGAGATCATAAAATTGTGTTACTCGCGCCATTGATCATGTTGAATTGAGTCAAACTTAACATCAATTATCAAAATTATTCCTAATTTCCTTAATTATCGAAACCTACCATGAACTTAAAAATTAAAATTTGTTCATTATTTAGAAGATTGAAATAGATCTCCTCCATTTCGGTTCCTTACTTTTAGGTTTCAATTTTGATGAAACAAACTGATTGAAATAAATCTTTCTTCATTTTATTGCTTTCGTTGAGGCGGCGAAATTTCTTCTTAGCTAGAGTCATCTTCCGCTCCGATCAACCTTCAGACGCCATAGGTGATTTTATTTTTAGATTATTTTTTATTTATGGTTGGATTCCAAATTTGACGATTATGCGGCTAGCAAGATCTCTTTGCAAATCCAGGTTGTAATTGGTTTTGAGGATAGTGCATTTGGTTTATTCATGTATTTTAAGAAAATTGACAATGCCAAAACTGCAAAATAAAATCAACGATGCCCTGAAGTGATCGATTCAGATTTCTATTATTGTTATTCATTCAGATCTATTGGTTACTTTGACTGATCGTAAACATGCCCATCTACTGGGTAAAACTTAATTTTTATTTTTTTTATATTGTTTGATCAATTACATTATGTTTGCTAGACTAGGGAAGAGGTGTGGCAGTGGAAGTGGTGAAGGGAAGAGGAGGGGGGTGTAGGTGGTGGAAGTTGCTCCTCCCAAAAGTCGAACAGCAGTGATGGCCGATTCGTAATTTTACAAATTCTAATCACGAGGAACATTGGTGGTATTAAAGCATTGAATATCTCTTGATTCATTTATTGGTATTAATTTGTATTTTTTCCCCTTTATATATGATTTAATAATTCTCCAGTTAGTCTGAAATGGAGTAATTTGGTTGTCAAACGTTTTTAATGGAGATTTATATGTATTTCATTGATGATATTAATTTTTACATATAATTATATGGGGTCCTTTAAAAGGTTTCAGACACAAGATAAGAGAAAAGTCTTTGGGTTAATTTATGATAAATTATCCAATAAAAGTATGGGACCTCTTTGATTAAATGCATGTGATGATTGGTGGGTTGTCGAAGGCCCCAAAATGAATTACCAACTTAAACTGTAGATAGAATAAGTCAGGTCGATCCCACAGGGATGGGTTAAACTTCAAATAACCGGAAAACAAACAAGAATATAAGAGTTGGACAAACAAGGAAGAAAATTGCAGACTCACTTGCCCGACTTAAAGGACTCTGCAGAACTGAAGACAAACAGACAACTGAAACCTCACTCACGGGAGTGAGAATTCTGACTCAGGGGACAGACTCAACAAATTGAGATATTCATTCTCTTTTCCCTATGTAATCAAGTGGTAATCCTCCACTCTTTTGGTAAGAATTCATGCTCATTCATGCACTTATATATCTCTAAGTCACTTCCACCTAGAAGTATCTTTATGACTCAATTAAATTATTTTCCAATGATTAATCAAGTCATGAAGTCATTAAGTTTTCAAGCCTTACATTAATGCTTATACTAACCAAGTATATTCCTATCTCAATTAGAACCTTGGACTATTACCTCCGAGTTATAAGTTGAAGCTGAAATATATCCAAACCAAGTTTATCTTTCCAGATCTCCCCTAGTTTTAGCATGCATTCAATCAGTGATCAAGTAACTGAATGTAAAAAAACTTCCAACTTCAAAACATGTATTCAACAAATGCGTTACAAACTCAAATTACATAGGTTCCAGAGAATGAAATCTGACTAACTAAACATACAAACTACAGAAAATATAAGAAAGGAAAGAAAGAAGCGAGAAGAAGCAAATCTGAATGCTGGACAACAGGTCACTCCCCTGAGTGACAGAAGTCACTCAGGCGAGTGAGGCCTGTTATCCCTCCTTGCTGCTACTGGGCTTCATCTTCTTGGAGTTCCTTCCTCTCTTCTTCGGATCTGTGTAGTGTTGGTGTATTTTATGTATGTTTTTTGTCCTCTGATATGTGTTCTTTATCCTGGGAATGCAACTTCTTTTATAGAGCTTGTTGCCGGTTCTTCTTCCAAGAGAGTCTCACCATACTTGTGTATTTTTTATTAGCCCCAATGCCTTGTGTCTTGAATCCAGTTTTGACAGGCCTTTTCCCCTTCTTCCAGCAGTGGTATCAGTAGCATCATTGATCAATGTGGGTGATTGGTTCTTCAGCCAAGGGGACAAGCATACTCTTGGGTTTCTATGGTTGGACACCCTTATTTACTATTAATATGCTTTGTGTCTTGAAGTTACTTTTGACCAGTTCAGCAATTTGAATCTAGCAGTCCAATTTTTGTTCCATAAGCCCCCTTTTTCAGCTAATGTTCACTCAGGTCCTTGCCTAATTAAAAACACAAAAATAGTTAAGTAAAATGAACTACTTTTGAGAAACACCCCAAATTTCTTACTAATTAAAGAGTAAATTATCATGCTTTTATGTAACAAATTAACCGTTATCAACTCCCCCAAACTGGAAGAATTGCTTGTCCTCAAGCAAAACAATCTAACCCCTTAAGAACTACACATAGAAACAAGAAAACAATAGCTAACCACTGACTCCCCAGAGTGAAAATATCACGTAGGCAAGTGGCACTACTGACTCCCCTGAGTGACAAAAGTCACTCGGGCAAGTGACACTGTAATAAACACACAAGAACTTCACAGCAACTATCAAACATAACGAGTTCATATGACAATCGGATACAGCATCTCAGACGCAAGAAAAACAAGTATATCTTCATCCAAATTCAAATTTCACCTATAGTTTTTACGAAATCACCTCTGTGTGTGTGTGAATCATGCCAAGTATGCAAAGTAACAAATTAGTATAAGGTAAATAACAGCTCATGGTGCATATTTAGATATTTCTTAGCCTTATGACTCTTTTTTTCTTACCACAATCATGCTAATGTGGCCAATACAGCCTCAAAGATATAAGGACTCTCACAATTCATTTCTTTTCAACTATTCTCCCTCATTCCCTTTTATTTACCTCTGAGTCTTTTGACTTTTTCTATTTATGACTCATGATTCTTTTTCTTTCCAACTTCCGACCCCTCCTACTGAGAGCTTTCGATAGGGGACTTTGCTTTCTAGGCCAAAGGATTACTCATTGTTGCCATTTCACTCTAAGGGATTTAGCATTGATGCTCTACCTTATACTCCCTCAAGTTCTTTTGA